GGGTCTGAATACTTTCCGTACACACTGTAGATATGCCTCTAATAAATTCTCTATAACTCTGCTATGCTTGACTCTTATAGCATCAGTGTGTGAACAGGTGATGTTAAGATGTTATTTTATTGTTTTCTACAGTTTTTGGGCTTCAAACAGCATTATACCTAGGGGGATATTCCCAATAAAATGTGTTATCTTTTCAGGCGAGAATTGAATCTTTCATTTATGCTGTTTTCCATCTGAGTTTACTCTTGAATAGTAATAGTTATACTTTTACTTATAATTGATTTATATCCCATAGCTTCTGACTTATCAAAGGATACCAGAATTATGTATGTAGGCCTTATGGTTGAGACGTTATACCTGTTTGATTTTGGGTATGCTATTTTAGCCGTTTTTTCCTTTTTTGGGGTATGTGTTCAACAGGTTAACAACCTACCTAAAGTAAAGGTCAATATCTCTAATTGTATAACAAACTCATGTTTATACCTTAATATCAGGAAACCTGAATGTATGTTCTACTCAAAAAATCGTCAAATAGAGATCCAGACCAGAGGTTATTGTAGCAGGAAGAAGGTTGTCAGTAGTGTGTAAGTTCAAATATTTCGGCATCATAATAGACACACACCTCACATCTAAAAAAGTTTGTTGCAAAACACAATGATGGCATTGGTTATAGGCGCATTTCTAAGCTTCTGAATGTTCCAGTGAGCACTGTTGGGGCCATAAAACGGAAGTGGAAAGACAATCATTTCACCATAAATTTGTTTTGACCAGGTGCTCTTCGCAAGATTTCTGACAGAGGAGTGAAAAGAATAGTCAGAAGAGTTGTCCAAGAGCCAAGGACCACTTGTGGAGAGCTTCAAAAAGACCTGCAATTAGCAGGTACTGTTGTCTCAAAGAAAACAGTAAGTAATGCACTCCACCGCCATGGCCTGTATGCACGCTCACCACGCAAGACTCCATTGCTGAAGGAAAAAGCATGTTGAAGCTCATTTAAAGTTTGCTGCACAACATTTGGAAAAGCCAGTGAAATACTGGGAGAATATAGTGTGCTCAGATGAGAGCAAACAACAGTGAAGTTTGGAGGTGGGAAGATCATGGTGTGGGGCTGCTTTTCAGCAAATGGTACTGGCAAACTTCACATAATTGAAGGAAGGATGAATGGGCAAATTTACAGAGACATTCTTGACAGAAATCTGCTGCCATCTACCAGGATGATGAAGATGAAACGAGGGTGGACATTTCAGCAAGACAATGATCCCAAACACACTGCCAAGGAAACTCTCAACTGGTCTCAAAGAAAGAAAATAAAGCTGCTAGAATGGCCCAGCCAATCACCTAACTTAAATCCCATTGAAAATCTATGGAAAGAACTGAAGATCAAGATTCATAGAAGAGGCCCACGGAACCTTCAAGATTTGAAGACTGTTTGTGTGGAAGAATGGGCCAAAATCACACCAGAGCAATGCATGCGACTAGTTTCTCCATACAGGAGGCGTCTCAAAGCAAGTCATTACCAACAAAGGCTTTTGTACAAAGTATTGAATAAATATCAGTAAGCGTGTTCAATACTTTTTTCCCTGTGTCATTTCACATTATTACACATAACTTTATTTCTGAACTTCTTTGTTTTGGTTTCTTTGTATGTATGGATTACTTGGGTTGTTACCAACATCTGGTGAAAATGTCAGTAGCTCCTTTGGAAATATTTACTGAGAAAAATGGTGAGGTGTTCAATACTTATTTCACCCGCTGTATGCTTATCTGTGCTTCTCTTTTGTGCTTATGAGCCTGTGTATGTTTTAATATTTTCTGTTATCCCATCGACCTGCCAGGGACTGCAGATGAAAATAAGTCTGTATGGCTAAATCTGGTACATTTACATACTGGATTGAAGTCCTCATGAAGATTAATGTGCACGGTTCCTTTAAATACATAAACAAATAAGTTTAATTTGACTGAGGAGAACTCAGTCTGCAGTTAGTACAGAAGTGAATGAACAAGACTATGGGTTACCTATCAATTAACGTTTTGTAGTGGACCTAAATTTATTAGTTATGTATTTTAATAAATTTATGAGAATTGATACCCAATTATGAATTATTATTCATAAAATCAGAATTTCCTCGTAAAGGGCACCACCGGAGTTGTTATAATCCTAGAGTCTCCGGACCTCTAGGTAGTTTTGAATAATTATACAATTATTACCAGTGATCAGTTAGTTAATAATCGCTCAATTATCTTAAATCAGTCAGTCAGTCTCATATCTAAAGGGTCAATTCTCTTGGCAGGAACTATAAATAGGCAACACACACAGCTCTTGATTATATTACAGTGAATTTATTCTCTAACTAAGGTGATAAAAGATGGTTGGATACAGGGAACATAAACATTTGCTGAACACTGAGCCTGGAGGTTCGATTGAGGGAAGCATTCGACTCATACGGCATAGAAGAGCTAATGAGAGTAAACTAATGCTATAGTTTAGGAGTTAAAATGGACATCTGATCACAGGACGTGTGTTAAGTCTTACTGCTTGTCGACAGCCTGCTTTTGGCCTGTTGCACGGGTCCCACGCTAGCTGCCGATCCTGGCTTTTTGCTAGGGATTCTCCGGGGTTCTCCGTGTCTGATTGAAAACGCCTCCTCCGTCTGGCAATTCGGCTGTTTGCAGGTTTCCTTGGTTGTAGCTGGCGAGACCACGTGGCTTGGTCTGACCTCGGTGAAGTTGGCTTGACGAAAAAGGCTTAAAATGGAACTTGGTCGTTCCTGAATTAGTCCAGTGTAACTTAACGGACTGATAACTTTAACAAACAAAAGAAATAAAGAAAATAAAACAAACTGAAGGCAGATCGATGTCACGGCACTTCAGGTGTGTAGCTTCAGGCGAACAAAAGGGCCTGTTTGCTTCGCTGGCCGAGTCTGGGCGTGTTGCCTGGCGAGGCACGCCACGCGCGTGCCGAAGCATCCAGAGGGCCAGAGTGGAAGAGAGCCAACAGCGAAGCGAAGAGAGGAGACAGGAGAGTAAGAGTGAAAACCGCGAGCAGGTCGCGTGTCGCTCTTTTGTTGCCTGGGGCGTGGTTCCCCAGGGGGCGTCTCAGGTTTCCCCAGGAACTGCCTTTCTAAACTTAATGTCTAAAGAAAAGAAATCTATTTGCACGTATTATAATCAAATATTTTCCACAATCGAACCTCAATGGTTGAACGGTTGTACTGTTCTAGGCATTTGGTAACAGGAAACAATTGTCACATTAGTGGTCAGGATTTTTATACATTTAACCGCATTTCCGATGAGGGCATGTAATACTTATTTCGTCCACTTGGGGGAGCTCAGGTTACATGAGGAAAGCTTGGATTAAATCAAAGATCGTCTCTCCTTAGGAACCGGGGAATTTGTTGATTCATCCTTAAATTCAAGCTGGCGATTAAGAGTATAGTAAAACATTTCTTTGTCATCATTTCTAAAGGGATTTTGTAAGAAAGTATTATGAACAAGCATTGATTACATTAGATGAAGGAGTGTCTTGCTGAAAATAAAAACATTGCACAAGTAACTTCTTTTCAGCACTAATATCAACAACAGATAGCAACAACAGTTAACATAACTACTCAAATAGAGGCAAACATATTCAGGTAACTAAAGATTTAATTAAATTTAATTAGATGCTTTGAGTCTTTTGGAGATTGCAGTCCTTTGTCATCCAAAGTTCAGTGTCTGGAACATGTCACACTTAGGTGAGACAAGGAGTATCCCTTTGATGTGGTAATAAACAAAGAATAAGGTCAGTTTCCACGGAAACGTGTGTGGTGGGGTAAGTTTTGATAGGCTGTTCAGGGAGATGCCAATGGCTGGCTCGTGTCCCTTTGTCAGTTTAACAGTCAGGCCCCGCATTATCAGCTTCGGAATCAAAAAGGTGCCAGTTTTATGGTCGGGCTAGCACTTCGAGAAAGCAACTTTGACCCCTCCCCATCTTCTCTGGGGAGGAGAAAGGAATTTAGGGGTAGCTCCAAATTTATTCAATATAAAATGCACAAATCCACATCGTTGTTCACTACAGTTTATATCTAAAATAGATAGTTTGTCTTCAAAGTAAAGGTTAAGTGTTAACTTTACACAGCTTTGAACTTACCTTAATGATGCCAACAAAATGTTCAGTTCCTACTGACTTGCAGTGGTGATTTTTAATGTTGGATATTGTCAGTTTTTCTAAATGTAATCATTGTTTACATGGAAATGAGTTTTTCTTAAGAGTAGCCATTTGTTGTGTCTTCATTTTATCCCATAACAGTGGACTAGATGTCAGAAAATATTTACAAGCAAGACGGTGGTCATTGAGCGCCTTCTGTTGGTGAGATTGGGGCATTTAATGTCAAATGAACATATCTGATCAAGGATGAAAGTTAAATAATAATAGTCAGGTGGCAAGGGTCTTGCCATTAGAGATTAAATACTATTCAGGACATGTTAACTAAATGGAGCAAACCTGAACAGATGAATTGCTGATGGAGCAGCACCTTGCAGCGGTAGCAGCCAAATGTGGCAGCTCTCATACATATTTTCTTTAGGAATTGCCCATTTTAGTTTCTGATGTAATAATCTGTTGATATGGTTTTGATGTGTCCATTGCCCTGCATCAAAGTCCACTAGAATCGTCCCAGAAGCGTTTCAGCAGCAGAGCATGCAGCCTGTCTTACGTTATAAACTTATTACTTATTTTTTTGTGTGTGTGCTTCTGTCTGCTACCTTCTTCACAGCTCTATGTGACCGGGTTTCGTTCCGTAAACTTCATGCTGCATATCCCACAAAGAGCATTTCAGAATCAGAGCGTTTTGCCTGCATGGTTTTGCTGACATGTTTAGATTTTGTTGATGTACATTTGGTAATCAGTGTTTGCTTTTTGTGCTTCTATGATTAAGTAGGCTTCGTAGTTAAATGAATTCTTTTTGTGTCCGTTTTAACCGTGTTTATTGTTGTTGTTGTGTTTTGTTTTGTCTTTATTTTAGACTTGGGATGCTCGTCTTCTGATGGAGCGCTCTCTGGCTGTGAAATGTCCAGATATCAGCACTCACTTGGCTGGAACCAAGAAGGTCCAGCAGATTCTTGCCAGACCTGGAGTTCTAGAGAAGTTCTTCCCCAACCAACCCCAAGTAGTGGAGCAGATCAGAGCAACTTTCGCTGGCCTGTACACTCTAGACATGGTGAAAAAATAACACACACTACACAGTTGTTTCTGTTAGGGCCGCACCTAACCATTATTTTCCCATTAGTCAATTAATCTGTTTTTTGATTTTTTAAGTATTCTTTTTTTATTACTCGATTAATATAAGTAAACAATTTATCCAAAATAAATATTAAATACTTGTCTCATTAATAATTCAATATTTTATTCAATCATCCTGAAAGGGACACATAAAGCACATTAGAATAATGATAAGAGGTCTATCTTAAGTCTTATTTCCAAATCACTGCAGTGTTATATTAATAATATACATTTATCTGACGCTTTAATCCAAAGTGACTTACGCCTCTGGAGCAACGAGGGGTTAAGTGTCTATGTCAGGGACATATTGGTGTCTCACAGTGGATTCGAACCCGGGTCTCTCACACCAAAGGCATGTGTCTTATCCACTGCGCCATCACCAATAACAGAACCTATTTGTCAGATCCCTGATCAGAAAAATACTCTACCTCAGATTCAAAAGGATTGCTGTGACACACAGAGTGATGTAATCACTGTATATCAAACCTTTTCCTGAACTGAAGAATCAGTTTTACTTAAGTACTTGATTAAAAACTTCAAATGCTTATGAGATCGTTTTGTTTCGTCACTGGAGTAATAAGCCATAAGATAATCACTGGCAAGTGTATTTTTCACAGTATTAGATTCTCTTTGTGGTGGTAGCTATTATCTTTAAAATAATAATAATAATAATATTAAATAATACTGTAAATATCGCTCAACCATAACCTAACCTCAAATCAGCATCTCCATATCAATTTAACTGAAAGAGCAGCATCTGTATTGTTGACAGTATTGAAAATCATGCCTGCAGGATTTCTAAATACCTTATATCATACCTTGATATGGCCGGGCCTAACCTAACCTAGTAAGTTGATGTTTCTGCACTGCGAAATGTATACAGAAAAAGTTAATGTAAAATCATTTGAAATAATTTAATTTTTATGCTGTGCTAATATGTCCTGGTATTTTATCTTTCCTGTTTCTTGCTTTGTCCATTTTGCCTTTAGGGACCAGAGGGTGACAAAACAGTTGATATGGCCTTGGCAGCACCGGATCGCTTTGTCCTGAAGCCACAGCGAGAGGGAGGAGGTACAATGAAAGAAACATCTTTAGAAATACCCCCTTCCATCAAATACTAAAATCACTGCCACATTGGTCACTATTTCTTAAACCAGAAGACTTTGAAATGTCAGTAACTCCATGGACATGTATGTCACAGTTCGTACATTCGTTCGTAGCATTGAAGGTTTTATTGAAAGGTACACAAGTTAAAGCTATCTTACCAAGGTGAGAATTAGTATGCATTTTTTGTCAACAGTTGGTCACAGAGCTGTTTAAAGTCCAAGTCATGTTTCAAGTCTTTCAAGACAAGCTTACATCAAGTCTCAAGTTTGTCAGATCATGTCTCGAGACAAGTCACAAGTCCTTAAGGGTAAGTCGTAAGTCAAATTCCCATGAGCAACTGCAGTTCAACATGTCAGTCTTTAGGGTTTTGGAATGCTGGTTGTAGTGTGTGTATATATATATATATATATATATATATTTTTTTTTATTATTTGTTTTATTTTTTTTCAAATTTGTTAACAATAATAATAATTTCACATAACTGAGACCAGTAGGTGTGTTGCTTTACTAAGGGTATATCAGATAACATTTGTCCATGTACTGTGGAAAATAATGCATGCTTATGTAGGGTGTTAGATAGGACCACAAAATATGAAAGCCGAGAATGGACATAAATACATACAAATTGACTACTAAAATTGATTTATTATTTGCTGATCAACCACTGTGAAAGAGACAAGAATCATATTGGTATTTTTACTTCTGGAAAAAGCATCTGTCTAAAGGTAGTCTTGTCATCACTGTGAGGTTACTAGGCAACCAGCTAAGACTACAGGAAGTTGCTGTGCCCAATCTAGAAACTGTTTGGCCTCCTGTAAACCCCCATTGTCTGATGTTTTTTACCTTTGGACAGAGCCAGGCTAACTTTCCCACTGTTCCAGCAAAGCTAAACAAACAGTCTCTGGGTTAGCTTCATTTTTAACGTACAGAAATGAGAGCGATATTGATCTTCTGAACTCTAGTAGTAAGTTTGTAAACTAATTTAACTAATGTACTTCTTTTAAGGCATTGGGTCCTTAAGTAAGTCAAGTCTTAAGCCAGACAAATCCAAGTCTGATTCTTAAATGTTTTTCCATACTTTGTTATGCCATCATTTTTCCAGGTAACAACATCTATGGATCAGAGATCTCTCAGGTTCTGGAGGAAGTGAAGGAGAGTACAGAGAGGATGGCCTATATTCTGATGGATAAAATCCATCCTACCCCTTTACAGAACTACCTGCTTAGGCGAGACTCCCCTCTAAAAATCAGCAACTGTCTCAGTGAACTGGGAGTGTTTGGAGCATATGTCAGGTATGTAATCACTATTTCATTGGCATTAAATAAAACTATGTTGGAACGACACAGTGGCCAAGATCATGCCAACACACGGTTAATTAGCACCAGCAAGACAAGCAGGAGGACTGGATACAGGGTTATCAATCTAAAAGTGGTAGTTCTCTCTGGAACTGTCTCGGTGCAAATCCTAAGAGTTAATCATTACCCTAGGAAAAGGGAGGGAGGTAGATTTGTCACATGATAACAGGTTATATTTAAGCAATAGCTCACGACAGGATTCGCGTCGGGCCAGCAACCCCCTTAACTGTGATATAATAAGCGTTTATCACGGCCTGAAGTGAGGTATTTCTTTTATAAAACTGTTACCAAGTGTGGCAAAAAGAAAGTACGCACTACAATTTGACTTTATTTCATCAGCAGACATTTCTTTATGAATACAAAAAGTAACTCCACCAGGCTGCCGGTAGGCTACATAGGCATGACGGTTGCTAAGCAACATACATCAAAGGCTAGAATTATTAGAACTATTTATTTACATCTATTTGCACGTTGCCGTTTGTTGTGCAGCCACTAAAAACTGTCCAGCGTCAGTAGATTGACTTTGGTAACTTATAATATGCTTGCTCTTGTGTGCGGTCGGCCAGCAGTGTGTCAAATAATAACACTTTAATATTATACCTACCATAAAGGCCGGTCTCTCCTTCAGCAATAGTCTTTTGAACAGGCTATTGAAACTTAAACTTTGTTGCAATATTGCAGACATCTGGGGCGAGTAGTGGACTGCTGAGTGTGTGTGTGAGGGAAATGTTGAATCACGTAATAAGCAATGACTTCTCTCTCTCTCTCATTATTTATTTATTTATTTATTTATCTCCGCCGGTAAAATGCGATCTGTATCAGATCACATTTTCATACCAGGTGTAAATGGGGCGTGAGACCCCCACGAAGCTCAGATTATAACTCGAACCCTGTTTGTCGCGGAGTGATACGGATCTGTGCGAAGGAATTCGACGCTAATTATGTCACTACTTTGAAGCAATCAGATTGCTTGACTTGAGCTACCCATTTAATAAATTGAGTTTGTATCTTCCATCTGCTACATAGCAGACAATGTACACTGACCAAAATTATAAACGCAACACTTTTGTTTTTGCCCCCATTCATCATCAACTCAAAGATGTAAGGTGGCCTTTATTGTGGCCAGCGTAAGGCAAACCTGCAATACCAAAGGAGAAGTGCTCACTAACACAGATTTTGAAACAATATGTGAGAGAAATAGGCCTTTTGTGTACATAGAGAAAGTCTTAGATCTTTGACTTCAGCTCGTGATGAATGGGGGCAAAAACAAAAGTGTTGCGTTATAATTTTGTGTACATTAATATTAATAAATAAACTATAATCAATGGAGCAGTGCTGAGCATGAATTTGAGCTTAGGGTTAGTTATGTTATGTCAGTAGGGGTGTTATTTGTTGTCTAATATGGTCATGCAGCGTGGTTGTGGAGAAATGGCTCCATAGCGCCCCATATAAAATTTCAAAGAAGCAGCCCCCGCCGTACATTTTACATAGCTGTACGAAATGTGGGGGGCCAATGTATCATCTCTAGACTTAAACATCACCCTCTTGGAGGCATACAAATCCAACAGGAAGTCGGCTATTTTGAATTAAATTAGTCACTTTACACACAAACTCCTGTTAGAGCTTTAACTCGATTGACTTCAGATGTGGGCAGCGCAGTCTTAGGAGCCTTGCAATGTTAAATTGCGCAGTTTTTCTTTGATCATGTCCATGGCGTGACGTTGAATTGATTTCGACATGAAAAAGGAAGTAGCATGTGAATGGACTAGACTTGGTCAGATCTGTCCCAAAATTCACAAGTAAACCTCTTAGAGACTTATGTCAATATCCAGTCATAGTGATAGCGCCACGCACTGGCATCCAGAAAGGACATGTTTCAAACCTAATTTCTTATGCCCAATTCATATTTTTACCCCACTAAGCATTAATGGACAAAAATGTCTATAGTGAGGCTCCTCATAGGAGGTTGATCACATCCATCTCAGAGTTCTTGGTACTTGGTGAGTAATTATTCGCAATTACACAGGAAGCTGTTTTTTGAGAGCTATACCCTAAACCCAACCTGAAGTCAGCAACTTGAATTGAATAAGTAACTGACATCAACCACAAATAATTTCCACACTTCACCTGTGTAATATATTCAGTGTGAACTTCGGGACTAAATGGAAGTGATGTGCATGTGCTTCCATAGAAATGAGTCCACATGGTGGCGCTGTAAATAAACGTTCAGTGTGTAATGTTTCTGAGGATATATTGAAAGAAAATCTAAAATCCATAACTATGTTTTCAGTGGTGTATAAAGACCTTATAAAATGAAACAGTATGTTTTTGTTACCTTAGAATGAGCCATTTCTATCTACATAAGTGTCGTGGAAATTATATTCCTGGTGAGGGGCTGAGCAAATAATTGAGTTACAACAAATTATCATTGTCTTTGAAGAATTTATTTAACAAAAGCGAATAAACAGAGAAGTACTAAAACACAAATCAGCTGGACCAGAGGTTCTGTCTCCATAGACAGTCACTAATGTCTGGCCCCGAGCAAAGGGATGCATCCTTTACACAGTGTAGGTTTCTGTGTTTTGGGTAACAGAGATCCTTTCCCAGCCTTGAATGAACATTCCAGGAGAGGAGAGGAACAACAAGAGAGGAAAGCACCAAAAACAATCTCACAGCTCTGACCTAAACCCTAGTTAATGTGGACAGACTAACATAAGTAGTATAGGAGAGGAAAGGTTAAGGATAAAACACAATACATAATAATAATAGTAAAAGAACATACATAAAAGATTAAATGTAAGAGGACACAATTTTCTGCCATAACAATAACCACGGGTCCCCCCCTCCCATGGATCTCACCATGTTGCACCGTCATGTCTCTACAGTAGCTGAAAATGGACAAACGCTACAGAGCACGTTTCGTCACTACATTCTTCTTGCTCGACTTCTGGTAGAATTCAGGCAGTGTCGATGCCCATCACTAAGTTGAATACATAAGTTTGAAGAAGCAGAAGTAATACTATACAGCAGGGGCCGCAAATATATTTTGCATTGGAACAAATCTCACAGGATATTTATGTGCCCCAAGTATGCCTGGAAAGTTTTATTCAAATCGGCCCTAGGGGGCGCTACAACTGCAAGAAATGGGCCTGGCATTACACAGATTAGACTATAAAAAAGATATTCACTCTCCAGTCATCACAAATCTCACAGGATATGTCCTCATAACTAATTGAAACTTGCCCTGAAACTTAACCCCTAGTTGCTCCAGAGGCGTGCGACCAGTCGCTGTGAATAAAAGCGTCAGCTAAATAAATAAATGTTAATCAGACTATAAACAAACAGCTGTTTGTCTTGTCAATACAAAACTCACAGGATGTGTTTCATTACAATTTAAACTTTGTGTTTGAAACTTTTTTGAAATCACAATACTGCAAAAAGATTTGAACCCGGTAACCGCCGCTTGCAGCTATATTTCAAAGTGATCTTGTATTTCTGCTTTATTTCAAAGGCAAACAATTTCCATGTTTCTATATGAAACTGAATGCTGTTGTAACTAAACTATACATTGCCCAAAATGCCAAGGGAGGGAAGGAGGCAAGGAGACGAGGGCCCGTTCAGCCTGCTTGCAGATTTAATTTGTCTTTGTTTCCTTACAGGCAAGGTAAAGACATGGTGATGAACGAGTGTGTGGGTCATCTGCTGAGGACCAAGAGTTCAGAACACTCAGACGGAGGCGTAGCAGCGGGAGTGGCAGTGCTGGACAATCCTCTCCTCATCTAAGTTACACTACTACCTTCTCAGCTTTCAAATAAAAACAAAATCACAAATAGACAACAGTAGAATCAAGTTTTCACTTTTGAGTCATGCTGTTACTTTGGCTGCTAGAGCATGATAATGATGCAGAGCAAATGTGTGTCCCACATTTACTGGAGACAGGTTGGACAGAAATACTACCAGTGTAGGCTGAGGAGATGCTCACATCCCTGGAAGCTTCCATTTTTTCCTTTATTACCAACATTGAGCGTTTAGTGTTTCCCACAAAATGACATTCTACCTGGGTGGCGGTGGCGGTGGCTGGGGCTGTAATGGGTGGTGTTGTGGTTAGCAGGGTACATTTCTATTTCAAGTAGCTATTTATTTATTTCAAGTGTTTATTAACTAGCTTACTTGAATTTGAAAGCTACCTTTCCCTTCAGTTATCTTTTCCGCACACATCTGCTACAAACACAGCGGCTTCCCTCACCTCTTTCTGTGTCTCTTTCCCTGGTAACACTTTACAGTAAGGGTACATGAATTATCATGAATTATGCATTACTTTATGCATTAATCTCATGAATCATCAGGAAATGGCAGTTCCGTCTTTCATTTGTGACTTCATGGATGAACAACATAGGAATTAAAACATCATCATGAATCATGATTTATTAAGCATTATGTTTTATTTGTGAAAAACATGCTCTTTGCTATCCATTGTGTGTAGAGATAAAGTTATTGTACATGAATTATCATGATTTCCTGCAGGAAAAAGCATGACTTCACGCATGTAAGACTCCTTGAATTATTAGGGGAGTATACAATAATCCACAGTACCTCGAAGAGTAATGTTCGTGTCTTCTTCCTAGTAGCCTGCAGGAAAACTGGCAGACCCCAGAAGTGGCCAATCAAAGCACAACACATGAATTCTATTGACATCCAAATACAGTATGACTACTGTATTTACTGTACTGCTACTGTATTTACTGTACTGTCATTAACTAATAGCTTCTCATGATTTCATCATGTCTGTGGCCCCCTAGTGTTGAATGTTCCTTTTGAAACACCAGTGAACAATGTGTTATTCATGATGCCATAATCCTGAAATTACATGAATATGAACATCAAAGTTCAAACTTTTACACACAACGTACAACGGACACAAAATTACACTGAAGACCTTTGCTAAATTCTTAAACCAGTATAAGGCAGTGAAATCAACAGCAATGCCTGGGGAGAGCAGATGATGCATCTACATCAACTTAAACTGCCCTAAAACTCCTCACACATGAACAGCTTGGAATTTTTTTTAAGGTACTTAACCATGCCCTCTCCAGGTGCAGAGTGTGAGCTCCACCAACCGGATCAACAAACCACCTTGAATGATTCACGGTGAAATGCCTGTAGCCCAAACAGACCTATATGCCCTCCTCTACTGTCCTGACATCTTTTAAAGAGTTGCTGAGCTTTTAGCTATGCCATCTGTCTTCATATCAACCCGCCTCATTTGCAGGCCTTGAGAAAAGCAAATTTACCTGAATAGAAACATTTACTTGAAATCACAGCATGTATTGAGTTTTATATATACACACACACACACACACACTCACAAAAGTGAGTACACGTTTTTGTAATAAATCTTTTCATGTGACAACACTGAAGAAATTACACTTTGCTACAATGTAAATAGTGAGTGTACGATTATTGTTAACAATTATTTTTCAAATCAGTTAATTTAATGATTAATTTTTCAATTTGTCAATTAATCTGACTCTTTTTTTTGTGCATTCTAATGAAAACAGTATGTTATTACTATATAAGGCAAAGAGCTGCATATATATGATTTGTCCACCACCACTGTAAACACTGACTAAGACACAGCGGTGACTTATCTGAATGGAATAAATGTTTGAGGAGGTGGGCTAAAACATGTCTTTATTTCATCCAGTAAAGGTTGCTTGCTAGTGTGAATAAATCATTTGAAACTTATTGTAATCGTTATTGTAATTTAGAATCCAGGTCAGTTTGGGGCTGAAGCCACTCAGCAGTCTTGAAATTCAGTTATTCAGCTACAGTGCTAACCGTTCATGTCTATGTGCATACCATTACCATGAAGGGAATGACATGCTGCACACAGCTTTCTCTCTCACACCTCCAACATGCCTGGCCATGCAATTCAGGCATGATGTAACTGGTTTGATTATTATGGATGTCTGATCTCATACAAATCAGGTTCCAACATATCTGACATGATTCAGATTAGTGGTAGATAAAATACTATCAGCCCCCACTAACCCTGACCAAATGGGTGAAAAATATGAGATCAACTTGGTATCCCCGGTCACACAACAGGAATCTTTGTGTACATTTTTGGTGTATACTCAATGATTAGTCACAATAATAGTGCTCAATATTACTTATTGTGTTCATGGTATAAGGTCAGTGACTACCTGAAATGAATGATTAGCATAATTGGGGACATTTAGAGCGAGGGGGTTGACTCGTTGTACGTGGGACCATGAGATTTTGCTGGCAAGGAAATAACTCGCCGAGGAGGCACATTTGCTGCTTCTCAAGTCTCTTAATTGCATCCACGTTCCCCTCACTTGCGTCTTTTCCTGGAAGCCAAGCGAGGAGAGAAGGGACGAGGAAATATGTTTTTAGAGACATGGGACGTCCTTTCCTCCGAGGCGTCACATGAAGCGACGTCCGTTTGTGATGACGGCGGCAGCTGATCACAGTCTGTAGAGACTTGATGGAGTTTGTGTCTGCACACATGTGCGCTGTTCTGATACTAATAAAGTCTCAGTTATCAGTGCACAGCAGCATGATTCACTCTGTAGCTTTTACCAGTTTAACAAACACCTGCACATGAATAATTATAGGTTTCTGTGTCCTGCTCAGAGGCACGGGATCATTTCTTTTGGCACAATACTCACATTATTATTTTTTTAAGAAAATGGATTGGATTATGTTATATTCACACCAACACAGCCCAGTCCCTGCCTTCATGACTCAGCTTAGATGTATTCATTCATGTTATTATACTTAACATCGGAGTTACTTGCCATAATTTGCCACACTGATAGACTAACTGCTTGTCAATGGCAATTTAAGAACAGGACAAGTAGTATTTTGCCTTGGCTGATGATTTAATCTGTCAGTATGATGTTCTGTATTACCTACAGTTAATCATCTCACAAATATAATACTTTTTAGAATGTAAACTAACACATCACAAATACATATACACACAGATGTTGGTTGCCTAATCAGACATCATGGCATTTTGCTAGAGCACATGTAGCCCACAAGCTTTGACACAAAAAGTGGAATATCTGAGCCAGGTGGCTAGATGAAAGAAAGCCTTACAATATGGTTTCACATTTTATGATTCAGGGAGTCCTGACAAATGTTATTCCATGAAGAAGTGTGGGAAGTAACACTTTCCATAATTTTTTAGATTGACTCTTCGCCAGTACATGCAACCCTCAATCCCCATGTGCATGGCCTTGCTGTGTACTTTGATGGTCAGAAGGACCTTATGATTGACTACAGGTTGGGCCGACAGTCCATGGAGGCCATAATGAGGATTCTGCCATCAAAGTACACAAAAGGCTGGTCATATGAGGTACATGTGTTGATCACTGTGTACTGGCTGGCACACGGCTTGCCATACAGTGTTGTGTCCCGGGCCTTTCATGTTCCCAAGTCTACAGTGTGCAGATTGGTGCACACTGAAGTGGAGAAGATTTCAGCCCTTCGCAAGGAGGTCATCAAACTGCCCACAGCTGAAGCACTGGGTGAGGTTGGCCAATATCTTGTCTTATTTCAGGACTTGTCTGCCCTCCCACCATATGTGATTGCCTGTCCCCACCCTAATGTGCTCCACCTGCATCTCATTGTCTCCCCTGTCCTAGGGCCTTTCTCAATATGTGTTCTTGTCTGTACTTGTGTTCTTGTGAATCATCATCATCTTTTGTGGCCCAAGAATTGTCCTAAGACACAAGTTTGCATTTTGGCAAGAACGGTTCAAAATCCCAGAAATGTTCTTGACACACCTACAGGTGCAGGTCATATAATTAGAATATCATGAAAAAGTTGATTTATTTCAGTAATTCCATTCATAAAGTGAAACTTGGATATTATATCCATTCATTACAGACAGACTGATATATTTCAAATGTTTATTTCATTTAATTGTGATGATTAAAACTGACAACTAATGAAAATCACAAATTCAGTATCTCCGAAAATTAGAATATAACTTAAGACCAATACAAAAAAAGGATTTTTAGAAATGTTGGCCAACTGAAAAGTATGAACATGAAAAGTATGAGCATGTACAGCACTCAATACTTAGTTGGGGCTCCTTTTGCCTGAATTACTGCAGCAATGCGGCGTGGCATGGAGTCCATCAGTCTGTGGCACTGCTCAGGTGTTATGAGAGCCCAGGTTGCTCTGATAGTGGCCTTCAGCTCTTCTGCATTGTTGGGTCTGGCGTACCGCATCTTCCTCTTCACAATACCCCATAGATTATTTATAGGGTTAAGGTCAGGCGAGTTTGCTGGCCAATTAAGAACAGGGATACCATGGTCCTTAAACCAGGTACTGGTAGCTTTGGCACTGTGTGCAGGTGCCAAGTCCTGTTTGAAAATGAAATCTGCATCTCCATAAAGTTGGTCAGCAGCAGGAAGCATGAAGTGCTCTAAAACTTCCTGGTAGACGGCTGCGTTGATCTTGGACCTCAGAAAACACAGTGGACCAACACCAGCAGATGACATGGAACCCCAAACCATCACTGACTGTGGAAACTTTACACTGGACTTCAAGCAACGTGGATTCTGTGCCTCTCCTCTCTTCCTCCAGACTCTGGGACCTTGATTTCCAAAGGAAATGCAAAATTTACTTTCATCAGAGAACAGATCTTTGGACCACTCAGCAGCAGTCCGGTCCTTTTTGTCTTTAGCCCAGGCGAGATGCTTCTGACGCTGTGTCTTGTTCAAGAGTGGCTTGACACAAGGAATGCGACAGCTGAAACCCATGTCTTGCATACGTCTGTGCGTGATGGTTCTTGAAGCACTGACTCCAGCTGCAGTCCACTCTTTGTGAATCTCCCCCACACTTGTTGGCATTGCATTGAGTAAATTTGTAGCCTAATTATCTTCAGTGTTCTTATTGTAGTTCAATATCTATGATTAAGATGTAAAGGTACAACTGCACATAAGGTCCATTGTAATAGAAAAAAGGGAGCCAGCGGAGAGGGGTAATAATCCGAGACAGAATGTAGATTAATCTACATGTAAAAAAACTTATTCTCTGACATTATAGTCACACATTTATGAGAGACACTTCTTTGCAAGGCTGCAACATCACACACACACACACACACACACACACGTCTGCCGTGTACTATGCATGCATTGGACTTTAAACTTTGCAATCTGTTTTAGCAGTGAGGAAATACTCGTGAGTTTAGCCCACAATCACTATCATGCGCCGAAGAGACTTTGTCATGGATCGGGTGTTTTCAGAAGAAAAACCAGAGGGATTTTTTGTGACATTAATTTCAGGGAATTTCCGATTTGTCTTCTTGTAAATTTCACACTTTCAACTAGGATTTTTTTTTTTCTTCAGTTATTAACCCTCACCCTGGCTCCCTATTTT